TCCTGCCTTTGTTACAGGCTGTTCAGCTCTGTGCTAAACCAATAAGAAAGTGATGGAGAACAACGTTCATAAAACATCAAGACAGGTGATGCTTAACAGTGCCAAAGTCTAGTCTGTACTTGACTCTCTGATGGTACAGAAATCAGCATTTGAATATACAAAATAAAATCAAAAGATCCTACACATATGTGAAGATAATATGTAAAACTAACAGTTCAAATACTGAAATTTAAACATGCAGAGATGGGTCTACATGGAGACAGACACAGGCTGTAAACTAGGTGCCCTGAAGCATTCGTAGGTGGTTTGGAGTTAGCTTTCCTGAAGGAGTATCTACAAGCCCAGTGAGAATGTGGGCTCTAGACAAGTTCAGGACGCGATCTTTGAATGGAAGTGAGGTATTCAGTTCAGAGAAAGAGGAGGCAGGCTACTCCAAGCAGAAGAAACAGTTTGAAGAAAAGGGTTTTAAGCCAGGGGAGCTGTCACTAAATGGCACATCAGTCCACAAAGGTAAGTGACACTCATAGCCTTTCTCGGGAATATGAGAAAACTAACCTAATCTAGAAAGGTCATCTCCCTTTCTAGACTAAAATCCAAAATCAGAATTTAAATCTACAAGAAGACTTTCCAAGTAAAGAAAAAACAAACAAACAAAACCAGGAGAAATCTAAAATTCATTTTGAACTGGAGTTCTTTAAACTGTGCCCACTCTGTTCTGTCCTTAAGCTGATGGAACAAAAAACTATAAACTCAAAACAGAAGTGTTCTCTGTCATAATCCTGAAAGCTATAAACACAACACTGGAGGGGAAACTGCGCATTTCTGACATCCTGGCTTGGGCAGCATAGCCAGGCTGCAAGAAGCATTTGTCCTGTGTGTGTCTGTAACCAAAGCTCTTTTTATAAAGAGATCTGTCATATTGTACCAGGGTCCATCTCATCATATCTTAATAATCTCCATCAAAAATAGTTCTCTTCATAAGGTTTGTTCTGAAGTACAGGACAAGGTTCATACTTCAATACATCTACATTGGATATAAGTACAGATTCATATCTATAAACTTTGAAGAAAAAACTGATCTAACCATAGAAATTGATATGGGCTAGAATAGCAAAAAGAGACAACCCGAAGTTCACATAAATAAAAGATCCTAATAAACCAAAGAAATTTCTTTATAATACTAACTTTCTTTTCATGGAACTTTGCCATGCCAGTTTAAATAAAAGATTACATTTAGTGTGTTATCTTCTGCAGCAAATGCCTTTGGATCCTATACTGGATGTAATTAACAAAGGCAATGTGCCTTAACCCCTAGGGTTTGTTGACACCATGGATGCTTTGGTTTTCTTCAGATTTAGAGGACTATGATGCCACAAAGAGAAGGGGAAGGTGGTCCTTTCCAGGAGACTCTGGTTCCTTCCATTATCTGGTAACAGAAAGACAGATTTTTCTTCGCTAGTCAGATACTACAATTCTTGGAGGCCATATTGAAGGCTGCCAACTTTCTCTGTTGTCACCTAGCAACTATCAGCACTATAAACACTGGGATGGGATGATTTACACAGCACTAATCAGATGATGGCCTAGCAAAGGTACTGACTCTTAGGAGTGGAGCTCTTTCCATAGCTTCATACCTCAGGGGATGCAAAGTTGCAAGCCTAAGAAAACTTACCAAAGAAAGCAAACACACAGAGTGAAGGCTCGTGTGGTTTCCTAACCAGGAAGCACCTAATTCCTCTACCTGCTGTCAGACTTGTATTTATAATTTTGTTTTGTATTGAAAACCTGGGACAAACCTAGAGGTTAAAGTTATATTTATCATTTATATGCAATCATTTTTTAGCAACCCACAGTTGCAAAGTTGTTTCAATAATCCTAGATGGTAATATTAACCGCATGGCTGCTCTGTGAATGAAATTACTCTTCAATGACCCCCAATACTGAATGTAAAATCTAGGGAGACCAGAGGACATAGAATGTCATGTAGAAACTCCAAGTTCTCTGGCTTTTTTTTCAAGATGGTGTAGAAATAAACACTATCTAAACTGGAAAAGGACTTCCAAAAACTATGGGTGCCTCAAAAATCAACTCTCTGAGTTAAAAACAGAAACCTCTCAGGTATCAGTTTTCATGGCACCCATCCTTCCTTGTCTGATATAACCTTTGGGCTATATCTATATGATATATAAATATCTATATATGATATATATCTATATATCTATATATGATATATAGATATATCCCATATATATAGGGCAACTGCATGTTTGAGAATTCCCTCTTGCCTTGGCTTCTGGAGTCTACTAATGCTTTACCAATTCTTTCTGTCCCTGAAGTTCCCTCCCAGCCTCTTCATTTCTTTTCTCTTCTCATTTTACTCTTTTCCAGATGAAAAATGGTAAGTTTCCGAACCAGAGTTGAAGCAAGGGGATGAAAAGGATGTAAAACGTAAAGACTGCCTGAAGGAGATTTCCACTCACTGGGATCAAGCACGTGATAAAGAAGCAGGTCAGAGCATTCTCTCTTCCTAGTTGACACCAATCCCTCCCTTAAAGCAAGACGTCCCTCGTCATAACATTACAGCACTCCCTGTCTCGCCTGCCTGCCTGTTTGCTTTCATTTTTCTCTTACTGTACTGTAAAATCCCTTAGCATACATTTCTGAAACTGCTACTGTATTTTTTAAAAAGGATACAATATGTACAGACATTTGTGTAGGAAATCTTGTCTCTATCTATACAGGGGCTAAGATGCCCACATGCAGAGACCTTCCTTTCATGGTCTCAGTAACTCTTAACTCCAAAGGGAAGCACTTCAACTTCTAAAATTGGTTTTGACTTATGGCCTTTAATGTGCTGGGCAGCAATGTTTGACTTACATGAATTCTGAGTCAAGCAAATCCTGAGAAATAGCATTGTTGTGTTTTATGGATTTTGATATCTAATAGATCATGTGGCATTATGTAGCTATCTTAGTAGATAATAGATTGGCAAATGGGTTTCTTGCTCTGAACACAGACCCCGGCTTCAGCCAGGTGAAGAGATGAGGGGATTCCTTTAATTGCCTGTGGTGTTCCTACCTCTTCTCTTCCTGTCCACACTCTACCAGTAGGCTGTTGGTTCTCCTCTTCCAGCAGCCCACAAAGTCAGGAGGGTTACAAGTCGAGGAGGATGCCTGGAATGGCTGCAGAGCACTGTACAGGGATCACACACCCTGGCAACCACTTCAGGGAGCTAGTTCAATTTTACTTCCAAAGACCAAAGGTTATATACCCCTTGGGGCGTGGGTGGGGGCTCCAAGGATAGGAGTACATAACTGGTTGGAACTAGACTTTAAAGACGCTTGATTTTCAGGCATGCTCTTATCCCATGAAAGGGAGCACAGTACCTAATTAAGCTATAGGCACAGGGAAGGGAGAGCTAGCAGGGAGCTGTGTCAAAGACCATATATCAGATGTGGCTAGGGGCATCTGTGTCTAAAGCACTCTTCAGATGAAGTCAGGTAGAGCACAAGGAAAAACAGAGTTCTGCACTTTAATGCTGAGCTCAGAATGGCTATCTGGTCCAGAAGAATTATAACCTCAAGCAGTAGGGGTCCTCCAACAGCCGACCACCCTCTACAGTTCTCTTTTCGCATCTGTAATCAATACCTATGAAACCCCAAACTCCTGAAGCACAGTTGTCCTCATTTACATGCAGTATATTTCCCATTGCCACCCGCCATGTCAATCCAGATGACCTGTGAATTCGTGGGTAACAGACGAATTCTAACTGTAATCTTTGTGTATCCTTCTCTCTACTATTTCACGCATAGGGCTTTCCATAGAAGACTCTCGATAAATGTAAATTTAACTGGTTTAAATTCAATTTTTAACTATTCTGTTGAAAAACATAAGACATTCTTTTCAGTTTAGTGATTTTTTTTCCTTTCTGGGTGTAACTGATCCATCTTAGGATCAGTTACCAACTTATTATTATTATTATTATTATTTTTGCTAAAGAAAGTCAGTTTTGTACACGAAAATTGTTTCAAATTTATGTATGTATTCTTGCACTGCTGCCTGTCTATTGGAATACTGGTGACATAGTAAGGAGAGAACTTCAAGAAAAAATGTATATAACCCAAGAATATTGCTAATCTATTTTTGAGAAGTTGAGGTGATATCCTTTAAAATTGAGGGAACACAGGAAAACCATAATTCTGTCTGCCAAGCTTTTTATAACATGACAAACCTTGCTCTGTAATCTGGCTTGTCTTCAACTGTCTAAAGCCCAGCTCTCGAGCGTGTTGACACAGACCTCAAAGGACGATGCTCCTGCTCCTCTGAGGCCTGCACCAGCCAGCAGTAGTCAAGACTGACAGACTCTGGATGCACTCTCGAAAGGATTGTTAAATTTCACTTCCAGCCCCAAACCAGGAAGTGCTGCCTAAAATAAGCCCAAGACAAAAGCAATCCAACCTCAGAAAAACCCACAGGCTCCAGACAAGGATATAAGAGTTTAAAATCTGTGATTATCTGCAGAGCAGAGCAGGCAGGCTCTTGCTTGTAAATCATTAGTAACCTTCCAGAATGGCCTAAATAAATAAATAAATGACATAGAACACACACTCGTAAGCAAGCATTCAAGAGACCAATTTGTTTTTAAGATCCGTTTTTTTATCTAAAGTTAAGACTTCCGCTAGATTTGAGTTAGTGACAGCTTGCAGAAAAGGTGTCTAATTCTCCAAATTCTTAAGGAAGGAGGTCTAAGCCGTCCTAGGCGGCTCTCTGATTGCACAACCGCTAGATTGGTCTAGGCAAGCCCACCCGGGAACCGCAACTTCTGGCTTCCCGAACTGTTTGGGATCCACTGAGAACCCTGCTGGGGAGGGGCCCTCCTGGGGAGGGTCTCTGGGTACTAACCCGCAGCGGAGTGGTAAAGTTGCAGCTTTGGGCCACTGACAAGTTTGTCCCGCGGCAGCGAGCGGCGGGCAGGAAGGGGAGGGCCCAGCGGGGCGAGGGCGAGAGGGCCCAGGGCTGGGTCGGAAAAGCTGCCTCACTGCACCGCCCTGCCCCTCCCGCCCCACGCTCCGGCCCAGGCCTCCGGTACAATTTCGCTGCTCCTTCCCGCAGGCTGCGCCTGCAGCGGCTTCACCGAAAATGTCCCAGCCGGGCCCGCAGCCCACCGCCTCTCCTAGGCCCCGGCGAGGCGCCGCAGCTCGCCACACCCAAGAGGTGAGTAGCGCTCCACTCCGAGCCGCGGGGCAAGCGACCGAGGGACCCTGGTCCAGGAGTGGCCCGCCGCAGTGCCGGGGCGTTGCCCTCCCTTGGCACTTTCCGGGATTGGGAAAAGGATCAAGACGCTGCGCCTGCCGGCAAGCAGGTGGCCCGAGGCTCTCCAAATTGGGTAGCGACCAGAGTTTGGTGGAGGGGCTCCTAGAGGACTGTGAGCTAGTGAGACCGGGGCAGTGCGCGGGGGCGTGGAGGCGGAGTAAAGTTCCCTCGCGACCCCCGGAGCGAATGGGCGCCTGTCACTGGACGGAGAGAAGGCCTCTGCCGTCCTTGTGAAGTCGCCCCCGTCCCTCCCCCACGCAGGGAGTGGCACCCTGATGAACCGACACACACCTCTTTCCTAACTAGCCACGGGCCAAATCGGACGGGGCGGGACCAAGCCAGCGGTGGGCGGGACCTATCGCCTCCCCCTTGTGCCCTCCCACCTGGCAGCTGTGTAGCGCCCTCCGCGTTGCCAGCCAGTTCCCAGCCAGGCAGAGAGTCAGCCTGGGGCCACCAGCACCTCACTCCGTATCCTCGACGGGTCCCCAGCCTCGCGGCTCCGAGCAAGTCAGTGGGTTGTCGCCATGGCATTCGCAAGCTGGTGGTACAAGACGGTAAATAGGAGGGATCTAGCCTGGGCAGGACTGGGGAGGGAGTGTGTTTACTTCTCTCCTGTATGTGGTAGAGGAAACACTGTCTGAAGTTTGAAGGGGACGGGGTGGGGAGCGGGTGCCACCTCCTTGTAGATCTTCTGGCTAGGCAGGCACAGAAGCCAGAGGCTCTCCCTTCTGTGGTATGCGGACACGCACTGGGCGGTCGTCTAGGCAGCGAGGTGCACCAATCTCTGCTCGCGTTCCCAAATTGAATGGGCAGTAATCTTTAATTCGCCCTTTGGAACACATACCTGGATACCTACCTAGACAAGAGCCACAGGATCCCAGGTTTAGTTTTTCAACTGCTAAGTAAAGGTAAAAATTACAAAGAACAGAATGCTGCTGCTGTTTGAGGCTCGAAAGAGGAGGGTGGAGAATGGAAAAGAAAACGCCAGGGAATCACCCTGATCAATCATTCTGGGGTTGGGGTTGGGAGAGAGATTAATGTTGGACTGGGGTGGGAGAGAAAATGAATTTATCTTACTTTGCAAGAGGACAAATGTGTTCCTTTTGGGTAATGCACTGAACATCTGACCTACCAATTAGGTGTGATACCCAATCGAGCTAGCACTTGCAATGTTTTGAAACCAGGAAGCATGGTTCTAACATTACATTAAAAAACAAAAGACTTAACAAACCCTTGTTGACAGAGACTCATAAGGTGATTTTTGGTTAGAATTTTAAAATCTTAGGCTCACCTTCCTCTCAGCATGTGATATAGAAATAGCAGATGTAATAACCAGATGATCTTTGCATATAGAAACTTTGTGTTAGAATTAGAAAGTGGTTACCCAGGCTGTAAGGATTCATTGATCATCCAGGTGCTTTCAAAGGCAATGCAGAGTTCTTAACTAAAGCGGCAATGCTTTCAATGAGTCAGTCTTTTCAAATGTGTTTCCATATCTGTAAAAGAGCGAACATATAAGTAAGGACTAATTCAGTAGTGGACATGCCACACGCGTGTTTTCAGTGATGTTTCTTCATGAATGTTCTGCTTCACACTCTTCTGTGCTATTTAAATGTATAGTTTTATTGGTGTTCTACGAGCAAAGTTTTCTTTGAGTCACGGTTGTCCCAGGATTCTTATCAAAATGTACCAATTAAATTATCTGCAAATAAGGATGCCAGATGTTCAACTAAGATCAGACTTCTCTGTCCAAGCTCAGCATTTTCTAAAGGAAATTGTGCCAGGCTACTTAGGTGAAGATAGTTTAAATCTTTGCTTTTAGCACCTAGTACACTATGTTAAACACTTGAATGCTTCTGCTAAAATACCCATTAGATGTCAGTTTGGGGAACTATTATTTAAAGACCTCACTTAAAGACTTTCTATAATCTTCAGCATGTCTTTGATCAAGCTTTGCCTTTTCTCCAGGAGAAATGTACTGTGGGCCACACATGGGCTTTAAAAACTTTAGCAGCCACATTAACAAAAATATTTGAAGAAATCAAATGAATGTTAATAACACTTTGTTATAACCCCCTCCAAGCTAAGTTACATTTTAGCATGTAGTCATATGCTAATACCTCTTTTTGTGTTAGTTACTAAAAGATCTGGCTGTGCTTTGTATGTTATACCCAGAGTACCTTCCAATTCACACTTCCCACATTTCAGAGCCTTCACTTGACACTGTGGCTAGTGGAATAGCATCAGTGAGTGTGTGCCTGTGTATGAGTGTGTGTGTGTGTGTGTGTGTGTGTGTGTGTGTGTGTGTGTGTTTGCGTGCGTGCGTGCGTGGTCCGTATGCTACAATGTGCATGTGGAGGTCAGAGAACAATGGGTGGACCCAGATCTCTGCTACCTGTCATGTGGGTTCTAGGAGTCAAACTCAGTTGTCAGGCATGGCAACAAGTAATTACCTACCTTGCCATCTCACTGGTCCACATTCAGTCAGATAGTAGGAGACTATCAGTGGACTAGGAGAGGGACATTGAGAGAGAAGAGGGAGGGTGGCTGGGACTGGGAGCTGATGAGGTAGGGGACTATAGCCAGGATACAAAATGAATAAATTGTAATAAATAATAAAAATATTTTAAAAAAGAAAATATACTAGCAGCCAAGGCTACACAGAGAAACCCTCTTTTGAAATGAAAAAGAAAAGAAAGAAAGTATACTAGCTATTGGGATAGTTACTATTCTCTATTAAACGAGGAGAAATGGAAAGGTTGAATTATTTACCCACGATCACATGGACTTCAGGTTTCTATTATATAAGTTTATTGTAGTCAGCTAAGAGATAGAAGTGATTCTGAGCATTTAAGTCTCGGGGAATGGAAGACAGGAAGTAGTCAACCAGGCAACAGATAAGATTGGAAACCATCAGGAGGGCAAGTCAACCATACCTTAGAGGTTATGAGAGCTGCAATAGCCTTCGGTGGAAGGGGCTGAAGGGGCTGCAAGGGTCACCTTGTAAAAGCCAAAAGGACAGTGGCCCTTCTATCCTGGAAGGGCCCTGAGATCAGAGAGACAATCAGGTGTGTGTGCATGCATGCATGTGCATGAACGTGTGTGTGCGCACACGGTTGCATCCCAACCATTCATATTTAAGTCAGTGGTTCTCAACCTTCCTCATGCTAGGACCCTTTAATACAGTTCCTCATGTTGTGGTGATCCCTCAACCATAAAATTACTTTGTTGCTGCATCATAACTGCAATCATGCTACTGATATGAATTGTAATGTAAATATGTTTTCTGATGGTCTTAGGTGACCCCTGTGAAAGGGTCCTTAAACCTCCAAAGGGTTCATGACCCACAGTTGAGAACTGCTGCTGTAGGTTCTCACCCAGCCATACCAGTTGCCTGTCACTGGCCAAATCCAGTTTGAGATTCTCCATGCTGGGAAGCAGCCAGGCAAGATCTCTGGTGATACCAGCAGAGGTGATGAGGGAAGAAATCCACCACCCTCAGGTGCACAGCCCAGCACTACAAGAAAGACTGTTTTGAAGTGAAAGTAACTTTGTATCTCCGTCCTTCTGCCTGATGAATAATCTCATTTTAAGAATCAGAGAACATATAAACTTAGATCCCTAAGGTTTTGTCATTGTTATTTTTTTTTCCTTTTGGAAAATACCAATTTGTGCATGGTCCCATAATTTTTCAACCTGTTTTCTCAGCATTACTTTCTTATCTAGTTTAGTGACCTATAAAGAGCATATATACTTCTTAGGAGATTTTTAGAGGTTTATGGAAATAAAAGCATTTAAACAAGAGTTATTACTCAGTCTCATCTCATGTCCAGGAAAAGAGAGAATATAATTCCCATCTGATTAGAAAGGCAACGTGTGTATTTAGGAAGTTCATCAACGAACAAGTGACAATCAGGTGACAGTTGTTTGCTTTACTGAAGAGATAGTCTGTACAGATACAAAGATACAGTCCTTCCCTACAAAAGCTTGGAATTGGATCGGAAATGCCCATGTGAAAATATCACCCTGAGAAATCAGTTTCCCCAGGAGATACAGCCTGTTTAACGACAGGAAACTACTTATGGCTACCAGATCAGTTGGTGTTTTGAGAAGTCGAAACGTTTGTTATGGTGTCTACAAGTCTCCCTTCAAAGCCTATTGTTCCTGATCCTGGATATGTAATAGAAACAGCAAAGGAATTTTAGAGAAATATATCCACGTCCTGACCTACATACACACAAGCTAATATCCAACTCTTTGGTACAAGTGTTTCCTAAGCACCCACTTGTAGGATGCTTGGCAGCCCTGCTAACCTAACTGGGTGGTTTCCTGTCCTCTGGAGGGCATTGCAACAAGCCTTCTGTGAGTTTATGACAGTATTCACAGAGTGTGCTGAGTGTGCTGGGAGATCAGGGCTTCTAAGATAACCTTGTCCTTGCTTCAAATTTGCTGTCATGTCTCTGGACATGACGATGTGACCTATCTATCTCCAAGCTGAAGGATAGCTTTTAAATAACATTTTAAAGTTAAAATTGTTACTTGGCATTTTACAAAACATTCATTACATATAACTCTCTGGAAATACTGCTGAATGTCTACAAAATTTGGAGGATTTTGTGTGTCTCTATGGAAGAAAGTAAATGCCTGGGACTTCAGTAGTACCACAAGGCAACAACTTTTAAAAAAATGTTTACATCATATACATTGCTGTGCTTCAATGGTGAAAAATGATATGTGGAATAGCATGCTTCCTGGCAGCTAGTAACTAGGGTTCACACTTGCCCTAGTGAGCAAGAGGCAGAGTCCTCTGGAGAGGGGAGACTTGTACAGGAAAGAGCAACTTAAGTTTTTCTGTTCGTAGATTGGACTGTCAAACTGCCTAAACAGAAACTGAGCACTGAGAACAGGGAACAGCCAGTGAAACACTGGGTATTGTTACTTTACTGATTCTGAAAAGGATATGAGGTTACAGATATCAAGTGAATGTGCTGAAGTTACTGACTCTGTAAGGAGACAGATTGGATAAATCTGTATTTTTTGTTGTGGCCTTATCAAATACTGTCTTCAAACTGAATGGCTCTTTTAGAGATGTGAAGAGAAAAGAGTTCGGACAAAATAAATTTAAGTGAGTTATCTGAGTCACGATCCTATCCAAAAACCAGGGTAGCACTAAAACTTAGAAAAAGTTGAGAGAGCTAGCTGGGCTTCTCAGCAGGAGGGGTTGCTCTCACAGGCTGAACACTCAAAAAAGAGAAATTCCTGGTTTGGCTACAGCCAGGCCTTTGTCTTATTTGGGTCATGATCTGCCAGGGACCCTCTAATTTTGTAGCAGCCATCTACCTGGCTGTAATCATCTGAGGTACTGCTTTTTCATTTTTCTTTTTCTTTCTTTCTTTCTTTCTTTCTTTCTTTCTTTCTTTCTTTCTTTCTTTCTTTCTTTCTTTCTTTCTT